GGGCAGTTCCACCTGTTCTACTTCAGCCTTGGTCTGGAACCCTGCCCATGAGGTGGAGCCCACCTTCCCCTTCTGCCCTGGGGGAGCCTTGTTTTGATCCTGTGAGTAGTTTTGAGCTGCCTTCTGTTGCTTCTCTTTTATGGGTGCTTTCTTCTGCTTTTGAGGCTCACCGGTTGCAGGCTTCAATTTCATTTTTTGCTGCATAAAACAAGAAACTGCTATTTGGCTTCTGGATGAGGTACATCTTCTATAAAATCTTACCAGAGGAGGATCTTTATAAGAGGTTGGTGAAAAATTCTTCCCTTACACAGCTGGAGACTACAGAAAAGTAGTGATCCTCCTGTCTTGGCCTCCCCAGCACTAGGATTACAGGTGTGCACTACCACGCCTGGGTTCAGTGGCCAGCATGGCATGTGGTACTGTGGCTCAAACCCGGGCCCTTGCACTTGCCAGGCAGGCACTTAGACTGCTGAGCTATCTCCCCAGCCTGAAAAGTAGAACTAGAACTGGAACTACAAGCATTTCAGAAGTCCTGCCATTATAACAATTACTGGGTAGGGGATAGAAACTAACCATTCATCTTTCTATAATTTCCATAGAAAAAAATGTAATATTCACCCAAGACTCAAAAAGTAGGAGTGAGGGACAATTACAAAAGATATAACATACACAGGAGGAAATATCAGGAAAAGAAAGAAAGCAACTACCAGAGGAAATAAAGTAATAAAGGCTAAGACTTTTTCAAACTCAATGACAAACACCAAGCCTATAGGCCTAGGAACTGAGAAAAAAAAAAACAAAAACAGAAAAATAACAAAAAAAATCTACATATAGACATAGTCAAACTATAAAATATCAAAAACCAAATCTTGAGAGAAGCTGATAGAATATCTTCCATATAGAAAAACAAGGGTAAGATTACATTCATTTCTCTTCAGAAACCACAGAGCAAGAAAAGATGAACTGAGATATTTAAAGTTCTGAAAGAAAAAGAAAAAAAAATCACCAACCTAGAATTATATATACAAAAAAATTATCTTTTAAAAATGAAGAGAGCTGGAGAGGTAGTTCAGTGGTACAGCACTTGCCAGGCACATGTAAGATCCTGGGTTCAAATGCTGGAACCAAAAAAAAAAA